GGTTTAATATATTTTGGTGGGAGAATCACTATTTTTTTGAGATATCTATGCTTCCGATTCCTTTGTATACAAACAATAGTTTGGTTGAAGTTGATTAATCTGGCATCTCACTGGTGTGCAGTCCAGGGACGGTCCGACGGATTTTGTGGCCTAAAGCCAAATTTTATGAGGGGCCTTAATTTTTTAATTTTTTTATTATTATTTATTTGAAGTCTATTTTTTTTAGCTTTTCTTAGATACAAAGTTATTTAATTTTCTTATAATCAATAACTCCTACAAGTATTTCTCAATAACATTATAGCTAATCCAGTTAACCTTTCTTGTAACATTGTTGTTCTTAGGTAAGATTTTATCGATTTTAATTTTGAAAACTTATTTCCGCTGAAGCAACGGTAACTTGAGTTATGAACATTATTCCATAAGTAATTTAGGCATTTGAAAAAGAATTAATTTTATTTATTTTATTAAGTGTATCAATTAAACTGTTATCTTCTAATTGTACTATTTTCCTTAATACTTTTAATTCAGAAAATAAATCTAAACCATCAATATCGAATTGATTATTATGCTTCAAGGAACATTCAAGATTAAGGCAATATTTTTTAAAATTTTCAACATCTAGTGATTTTAGTTTTACCGCCAAATAGAAAATCAAAAATATTTTCATATGCTTCGAATTGTTCAAATCTATTTTGAAGTGAAAAAATAACCTTGTCTATTATGTATAAAAGTAATCAACTCTAAAGGACTCTTCGAAAGATTTTGAGATTTCATTATCAACATTCGCATCAAATTGTTACTTCCTATATATAACACGTTTCTTACGAAATTCGGGTTCGATATTCATTTAAAGTGAATTTGCTTAGTAGAAATCAGAGCAGTTGCAAATCCTTCTTCTCTATATTTGTTAGAAAGAAATCAAACTTTTTCACTTTACAGAACTCTTTTTTAAACTTATACATAGTCTATTAAGTGTAACAAAAAATGGAGCCCCCACAAATATGGGGCCTAAAGCGATTGCTTTATTTGCTTTATGGATGGGCCGCCCAGGTGCAGTCACACAAACTCAACTTCACATTCACCTTCTATTTTAGATTTGCTGCGCGGGTCCGTCTTTGAATTTCTTTACGTTTGAAGATCTTTTTTCTTTTATGATGATATGGGATGCAAGGTTTGAATTTTTATGTGTACTCTAATTTGCAGAGTGTTTTCTTATTGATGCAATGCTAAGCTTGAAGTTTGAAGCGTAGTATTTTGTTGTTTAAGATGGTACGATTATGCATATGAGCCTTCAAAGTTCTCTCATGAAAAAGATTGTTCGATTCTATAAGATTGCGTTGCAGATGATGCATTTTTCTCCTTTTAATAGTCATGTTTAATTCAAACAAGTTAAAGAGATGATGCCTTTTAGTAAAAGGAGAAATAGGGGTGTTCACGGTTCGGTTTGGTCGGTTTTTGATTAAAATCAAAATCAAACCAATTTAATCGGTTTTTAAAATTTTAAAACCAAAACCAAACGAAATTAAATACAAACCATCGGTTTGATTGTTGTTGGTTTGGTTCGGTTTGTTCGGTTCTTAGTAAGCTAATGATAAGTCGATAATATTAAAACAACGCTAGACAACAATCTGAAAATAATTGGCCAAATTTATGCTTTTTATATATTTCTTTGAGAACTGAAAGTTTATTTACATATTTATATGAAAAGAATGAACAAAAAACAAACTAAAAGTTTGCTTTCTCAAGCTTTAGCCATTGTTGTCTTGCAATTTGAATGTGCTTTCTTTACTCTTGTGGTGATTTTTTTTAACTCTTCTTTTAGGCAAAAGTATGTGCGGAGGGTAAGAGAATTAGAGTCTATTAATGAAAAGAAAATTAGTCGAATCCTATTGTTTTGGGCTTAGGCAATCTTATAAGATATAACAGGATAAACCAAAATTCAAAATAACAATTAAAATTATTAACAAAAAGATATAATATTGTATATAAATAATTATTAAATTTTGTATATAATTAATCGGTTTGGTTCGGTTTATTTTTCGGTTTTTTAAAATAGAACCAAAACCAAACCAAATATTATCGGTTTTTTAAATTTAAAACCAAAACCAATCCAAATCAAAAAAATATCGGTTTACTTAATCGGTTTGGTTCGGTTTTCAGTTTGGATCGGTTTTCTGTCAAACCGTGAACACCCCTAGGCGGCACATCTGTTAAAAGATAACGCAGGTGTCCTAAGATGAGCTCAACAAGAACAGAAATCTCGTGTGTAACAGAAGGGTAAAAGCTTGTTTGATTCTGATTTCCAGTACGAATACGAACCGTGAAAGCGTGGACTAACGATCCTTTAGACCTTCAGAATTTGAAGCTAGAGGTGTCAGAAAAGTTACCACAGGGATAACTGGCTTGCGGCAGCCAAGCGTTCATAGCGACGTTGCTTTTTTATCCTTCGATGTCGGCTCTTACTATCATTGTGAAGCAGAATTCACCAAGTGTTGGATTGTTCACCCACCAATAGGGAACGTGAGCTGGGTTTAGACCGTCGTGAGACAAGTTAGTTTTACCCTACTAATGACAGTGTCGCAATAGTAATTCAACCTAGTACGAGCGGAACCGTTGATTCGCACAATTGGGCATTACGCTTGGTTGAAAAGCCAGTAGCGCGAAGCTACCGTGCGCTGGATAATGACTGAACGCCTCTAAGTCAGAATCTGGGCTAGAAGCGACGCATGCGCCCGCCATCCGCTTGCCGACCCGTAATAGGGGCCTCTAGCCCCCAATTGCACGTGTCGTTGGCTAAGTCATCGCAGCGGAAGAGCCGCGGTGGCCGCCTTGAAGTACAATTTCCATCGAGCGGCGGGTAGAATCCTTTGCAGACGATTTAAATACGCGATGGGGTATTGTAAGTGGCAGAGTGGCCTTGCTACAATGATCCACTGAGATTCAGCCCTTTGTCGCTCTGATTCGTCCCTCCCCCTCCAAACCAATCAATTTCTTACGTTTCCAAACAGAGGTTTGCTCCTCCCTTGATGCTATATTATACTAAGTGTTGGAAAATCGAACAAGTCCTCAAGACCTTGGAACGTATACTATTTGTGTATTGAGCGGCCAGTGTGACTTGACACTTAGTCATGTCGAGGGAAAGGCTAAACCAAATGTCGTAAGTAGAGGTCTATCGGGGTTTCGCTTGTGTCGCCGAGGCCTATGTCAATGGCGGTGTGCCAATACAATATCGCAAATAGAGGTTTATCGGGGCGTGGCTTGCATCGCCGAGGCCTATGCCGAGGGTGATGTGCCAATACAATATCGCAAGTAGAGGTTTATCGGGGCGTCGCCGAGGCCTATGCCGAGGGCGATGTGCCGATACAAT